ACTGCGTGTTTTTACTGCGGGTGATGGGCGCCCATTGCACAGCGTGGGGATTTTTGTTTTGAGCGAAGTCCTCAGCTGAGGGTGTTGCCCCTGGTTGGTAGTCCGTATAAAGACGCGAGCATGTGTTGTTTGAACGTGGATTCTTTGAGCGGGGCGGTTGGAAGGGATTCACCACTGCGATCAGGGAGATCGCTGGGAGGATTGTGTTAGGTCGTTTGACTTTGGATCTGACGGAGCTGCTACCTTGGCCGCCATTGCGGGGCCCTCATGCGAATCAAGGTTTCAAGACCCTCTCTTGCGAGACTGAGAGCACCTTTTTCTTGGATCTGAGAGACTCACATCCTTCTCTATCTGCCCTTCTAACTCTCAATCTAGTCCTTTGTTACGAGGGGAAGGCGGCAGGCGGAATTGCAACCCGTAGGTCCGCGTCAAGACTCTGTGGGGAGTCCACCCACCGATTGCGGGAGCTCTACCAGAACCTAGGCGAGGTTCTGGAGGCAGGGAACCTTCAGGTAAATCATCTTTATCTATATAAACCCCACTACTACCCATGTTTGCCTATCTCCCTGCAGTATGATTGTTGTATGCATGCGTTTGTTCCTATGGTTTTTGCTTTCTCTTCAGGACTAATCAGACTAACTGGAAAGAATGTGTGAGAGTGAAGCCTAAGTTTCTATTTTTGTTCTGATTGAAAGCAGATGAAGGGATGAACTGGGGGAAGATGGGAGGAAGGTAGACTGCATGCGTTGACCGGGTCAACCAAAGCCTGAGCATTGTTTCCATGGTGAATGGCTCAGGGCTGTGTTTTATTTGACTGTTTTCTGAAGGACCAGGCATTATTTCCAAGGTGAATGRCCTGGTTGCTGTGTTTATTYAGTTGTTTTYTGGGGAACMAGGCATTGTTTCCATGGTGAATGACCTGGTTGCTCTAGTTAACTCTGGGGGTTTGCCTGATTGAAGGAGTTTAAGTTCTTGTTTATTCTGAGGGAGGATTTCTGGTCTAAGGCTAAGCATTGTTTCCATGGTGAATGGTTTAGCCTGAAAACCACACACATAAGTTAAACTGAGTATAAAGGGGAAGTATTTTATGTAYATTTGCATGTGAACTGGCAGYTGGGCATTGTTTCTACTGTGAATGGTCCAGCGTTAAGCCATATCATTAAGAAGAGAAAAAGAGAAATACAAAGTATAAATGGAAATAGTTTGGGCAAGCTGAACATTGTTTCTATTGTGAATGGTTCAGTCCCTTGCCCATATTTGCTTTTTCTTTTTGAAAACAAAGTCAGAGAAATACTAAATCCTTGGATATCAAACAGCTCAGGGCGGCTAGACATTGTTTCCATGGCGAATGACCTTGTTATCTGCCCAAAAGAAGAGAGAAGTAGTTGTGCAACCTGTTCGTGTATATCATGAAGACAAGCTGGACATTGTTTCCATGACGAATGGTTCAGCTCTATGTCTTATGTAAGATGGGTATAAGGATCAAGAACTTGAAGATTCATGAACTATCTATATGGAATAAACTTGGGGTGGTGAGAGTACTTACATTGGTGGTTTGGTTTGCATGTGACTGAATATGATGGCTAGTTTGTTTAAGTTTCATTACTATAGGTAGTTGCTGTAGTTGCTCACCACGTGCTAGAGTCATAGGAGTTAGTGTCAATTCCTGTTTTTTCTATGATAACGTTTTTTTTACTTAGGTCAATTCCTGCATTTTCTGAGATTTTTTCTTATTCTTGGCTTTGTATAAATCTTGGCAAGCTGCTTTTCCTACGGGAAGCGCTGCCGAAATTTCTACAAATCAAGAAGTTAGTCAACTTTTGACTTGTCAAAGTTCAGCTTGTCTTTTCCATATATGGATTAGTATAAATCTGGAAAGTCGCATTTTCTAGAGGGAGTGCTGCCCAAATTTTTACTAATTCAGGGAGTTAGACAAAATTGAACTTTGAGAAGTCAAAGTTATTCTCAAAATTCTGAACTTAGCCTTGTATAAATTTTGGAATAGCACTTTTCTAGAGGGAGTGCTGCCGAAATTTCTGCAAAATTAAGGAGTTAGTTAAATTCAGTCTAAAAGTTGAGCTCGAGCTGTTGTTCGAGTTCGTATCTG